GTCCCACTCTGGGCTTTCCAGCCCTCGCCAGGTCTCCGCTAGAGCCCCACTCTGGGCTTTCCAGCCCTCGCCAAGCGTCCACCAGAATCCCACTCTGGGCTTTCCAGCCCTCGCCAGGCCTCCACCAGAATCCCACTCTGGGCTTTCCAGCCCTCGCCATGCCTCTGCCAGGGTCCCACTCTGGGCTTTCCAGCCCTCGCCATGCCTCCGCTAGAGTCCCACTCTGGGCTTTCCAGCCCTCGCCATGCCTCTGCCAGGGTCCCACTCTGGGCTTTCCAGCCCTCGCCAGGCCTCCGCTAGAGTCCCACACTGAGCTGCCTCACTGGCCTGATCTTGCTGCCACTGCCTCACCCTGGCCCACTCTCATCGGCCCACGTTCGATCTGCTGTCGCTGCACGACACAACCCGCGCGTTCAGCTCCTGCCACATGGTTCCCTGTTGCGACCCAGTTCTTTCCCAACTCCTTAGATAGTTAGTTAAAAAGGGTTGGGGGAGGGATAGAATTACTACAGAGGGAGAGAGAAGAAAGGAGAAAACAAAGGAAGGACAAAGAAAGAAAGAGAAAGAGAACTGGCAAGCAGAGTGGAGATCCAAATGGAGTGACTTACCCTGCTGCCATCTTGCCGGAACCAAACAGTTTATGGAAAAATAGATACTCAGGAATGAAAAAATAAGCAAAGGGTTCAGAGGCTTTTAAATGTGGAGTAAATAATGCCTGACTGTGTACTACAGCTGGAATCTAATTGAGCAGTTAAGGGACTATACATATGTATATAGAATAACACACACGTGCGATTGAATTTCATGTTGGAATCTAATGTAAAATTTACTTGTCAGTGGTGTTTATTGGTAGTCCAGTACAGTCCAGAAAATATATAATTCTGAGATCCATTTCATTGCTTATTCTTCTTACTTGCATTTCTCTTACTGTAGAAAAACAGCATACTAGTCCATATGAGTGATTGCATTAAACAAAGAACAAAGAACAGTACAGCGCAGGATCAGGCCCTTCAGCCCACCCAGCCTGCACAGGCAACATGATGCCTTCTGTTTCCCTGCCTATTCGTGTATCTGTCAAGATGCTTCTTAAACATTGCTATTGTATCTGCTTCTACCACCTCCTCTAGCAGCACATTCTATCTGAAAGTTGTAACTAAAAGCTTCTTTTGAACATTTCAAAGCTTCTCACAGGCACATCCAAGCATTATCGGACATTCCCCATCAGGACTGATCTGTACCCAATTGCAGTCTGAGCATTCTGATGCTTATAAACTACCACATGCCAAGGTGACATGGGTCTTGCTTAATATGTTCATCAAAAAAGAACCTTGGAAATCAATGTGATATTAGGGCCCTTGCTGGGCTGCTCATACCCTGGTCACAAATGTAAGGGAAAGAAATGTCTATATACACTTTGTCATTGACCTTATCAAACTTGACTCAGATTTGATGTTCGTATTGGTTTTAAGAAATCACACAGAATATAATGTTCAGGTTTGGTTTCTGGTCAAAGCTCTGTAGCAAACAGGTAAGAAGACTCAGAAAGTTGGAGATGATACTCAGCCACTGATGAAAATGTCAGGATACTGCACATGTTTCAGTGTACGTCTCTGCTTCTTTGGTGCTGGCTACAAGCAGACCAGAAAAGACTATTCTGTGACATTATGGGCCACTATTTTGCGAGGCCACATAGGGTTTTAGACAACCCAAAATAAGCTAGTCTAATTACTGAAGAACATAAAAAAATCTGTGTGAGAAAGTTAGTGACATTTATTGATTACTCATGATTCCCCCCATTTGAGTGATTTTGACTTAGTAAAAACAAAGCTATTATTGACACCAATGGCAACTTTTCAAAATGGTTCCAAGAGATGGATGAGAACTTTTCAGAAAATGACAGAAGGTTAAAGAAGTTTTGAAGCAATGGAGAACAGAGAAATCAAAAGTTGTAGGATTAAAAAATGCTCAGTGTTTAGTTGAACAGACATTACATTTATCAGGGATATTGCGCTGCCTTAGAGCAACAGCACAGGATAACAGGACCGTGTTTATTAAATCAAATGTAGACAGTGAACATAGAAAGGAAACAATGTTTCAAAACAAGTAAAGGTCCCTCTCACACAGGGTACACTGACTTTCTTTAATTTAAATGTTCAGGAGAACAATGATGTTGAATATAAACTGTAAACCTAACCTTGCTAACTGAGCTTCCCTCTGAGTAAAATGCCTTCTGTGTCTAATTGGATTATTGTGAAATGTTTATATTATGTCGCTCTAGATTGTTGATCAATAACATAGAAGCAATAATTTATTTTCTTAATTATACTTTGTTTCTAACTTTACTCACAATGATTAACAAGTAGGAACTAATTGCTCCCCAGTCAGTATCTGTACTGTGCTCCTGTTTTCTTAGGATTGTCTTGTGTTATGATTAACATAATTTGGAATAGGGTGTGAGACAATTTAATGGTGAAAAATAATCCAGGCCTGGTAAATTTAGGCAGTTCAACCCAATATTTGAATATACGCTTTTCAGAAGTGAGCTGGAGGGATGCCGGGATGTAACTAATATTGAATTTTACTTTACATGATTTAGTGTTAATTTATAACATGGGGCTGAACATGGGCTTAAAAACTTCAAATGACTTTGCCCCTTTCCTTACGTAGCCTGCAAAATACTGGCCCATATTGTCACAAAATAATCTTTTCCAGCCTGTTTACAGCCAGCACCAAAGAAGCGAGACACACATTGCATAATGTACAATATTCTGACATCTTCATCAGTAGGAGAACATCGTCCCCAAACTCAGCCTTCTTACCTGTTTGCTGCAGAGCTTTGTCCAGAAACCAAACATGAACATTACATTGTGTGATTTCTTAAAAGCACATTGCCAGCATTAAATGAGTCAATACACATTGCAGACTGAAAGTTAATCTATCAATCTAATTCTGTTTGTGTATGTGTCTGTCTGTCTATGTGTTAATCTGTCTGTCAATGTATTCGAGTTCCTCTTATCTCTGTATTCATCATTATCCATTCCCATACGTGCATGTCCACATAAAAGCATTCTGGACGCTGGGAAGTCCCACAAACCTCTGCATGCCTTTCGGTGAGTAATGACTTTGGTGAGGTCTCGATAAAATCCTTCCTTGCAGTAATGGCAATGTCGACCTGCAGTGTTGTGCCGACAATTTAAACAAACACCTCCACTCTTTCGTCCAGAGAGTTTGTACAGCTCCATGTTGAATCGGCACCTCCGGGCATGTAGATTGCAGCTACAAGCTAAAGAAAACAGAGTAAGACTTGTGTTAAAATCACATCGAGGCAACGCAGTGTGATTTAGACTTTGACCAAACTCGTAGAACAAGACAATATACATCAACAAAGTTGGAAAACAGGCAGCAATCTGATATCACAAAAAATTACTCCCAATGTCTTTAACAAAAGAAATATTAGGAATCCGCAATTACCATTCCTAATCTCATGATGTTTCAAAGCAGACTACAGTCAATGTAACACTAAAGTAAAATCATTGCTGGAATCGGAGGAAACATGGGCAGCACATTTACACACAGCAAGATACCAAAACCTTAATGTGATAAATTAGGAACGATGTAATTAAACTGGAGACGGTTCCTGAAAAGATTACCAGGATGGTGCAGGGAACGGAGTACTTGAGATATAAAAATTGATTCGAAAGACTGGGACTTTTTCACTGGAGCATAGGAGGTTGAGGGGTGACCTTATAGAGGTTTATAAAATCATGAGGGGCATAGATAAGAATGACAGAAAAGAAGGATTCTTTTTCCCTAGGGTGGGGGAGTTCAAAACTAGAGGGCATATTTTTAAGGTGAGAGGAGAAATATTTAAAAAGTACATGAGGGGTAACTTTTTTACACAGAGTGGTTTGTGTATAGAATGAACTGCCAGAGGAAGTGGTGGATGCAGGCATAGTTACAACATTTAAAAGACATTTGGTTAAGTTTATGAATAGGAAAGGTTTAGAGGGATATGGGCTAAGTCCAGGCAGGTGAGATTAGTTTAGTTTGGGATTATAATCATCATGGACTGGTTTCCATGCTGTATGATCCTGTGATTAGCCGGTTTTAAATACTTTTAATTAGGATGTAAATATTTAGATTTTAATTAATACCAGTAAATAAATTCCATCTGATTCTGCAGGTGTTGGATCATGTGCATTGTGAGCAAGAGCCTGCAGCATACAACACACAAAAATAACCAGTGTCCTTAGGCGGCTTTTATCAGATGTAGTATGTAAATGGTTATGTGTCATTGGTGTCAGTGCAGCCCAATGTGCAGCACTCTTGCCTGTGGCAAGAAGTTGTGAATTCAAGTTGTACTGCAGTGACTTAAACACATAATCTAGGCTGACATATTCAAATCAGTAGTGAATGAGCACTGCACTAGTGGAGAGACAGTACTGAAAACTCATTGCACTAGGGCTTGCTCTGTGCTGAGGGTGTATTGTGCTATCAGAAGGAGCAGTGTAGGGTGGACATCGCACGTCAAGGGTAGTGAGAAAGTACTGCTCTGTCAGGAGGTTCACTACCAAGGGAACACTGTACTATGTGTCTATAAATGCAAAATTTGTGTGTGTCATGTTTTATACCTACCTGTTTAATTTGAAGTAAAATACAATCATGAAGGAAATCTTGTGTTTTGCTCTGAATTCTGCTGAACCACTGAGGGTGAACTGTTTGATAGAGGACTCATCTGAAAGGAACTCTGCACTGAGCGGCAATGTTTGTTATTTTGGGGCAATGATGCACAGATTGTTTTACTGCAAAGGTACTAGATGTTCACAAGTGCAGACAGTGATAGGGCAGTTATGATGACTGCAGGTAGACTGTTGATCTTCATGTCACACAAGAAGGTGTTAGGAATGTTGGAGTTTAGAAGTGATTATACTTTAAACCGAAAATTTGATTCCAAGATTGGAAGGTAATTAATCAACACTTCCACCTAAATACGAGGCCCATGTGATTCATGTTGCCATGGAAATAGACTTTAAGTGGGGAACAGACCACAGAAAGCCAATTTAGTGTGGGGATACATAATCTCCCTGAAATTTACAGACAGCTTAACCCGCAAGAATCTGGGTAGAGAGGGCAGTAAGATAGAGACAGCCAATCTCTATTGTTCACCATGGAGGATGGGTGTGAGAACGCGTGCACAGATTGAAGATCCCAATTTCAAGTATGCAAACTATCAGAAACTTAGAACTGCTTTCAGCTGGTCCCTGGGGAACAAAGAGTCCATTTAAGGGACAGAATAAAGTATAAGTGGAAGGGGCTCTCTGGTTGCATTAAGAGTTAAATGGGGGATATTTTCTGCAGGTTAGAGAATAAATCGCCAACTAAGTAGTGCCAACATAGTGTTGCTTTTAGTTTGCAGTAAACATCATTAAAACTGAAATCTCGCCATATGATTATTTCAGTTAATCACAAGAATTCAAACGTCTTTTTAAAAGTTATTGAGAGGGATAGTGCAGGGGAGATGACAGTCAGAGGTATAATGTTGAAGGAGTACTGCATTATTGGAGGGGCAGTACTGATGGAAGGCAGCATTGTCAGAGTGGTTGTCTTTCAAATCAGATATTGGTCAAATGATGATTACGTTTGTCCTGAATTATTATTTCAAAGTGGTGTTCTATACCGAGGTTAAGCGCAATTCTTTTTCTATATTATTTAAATAATAATATATATAGCATATGTTAAAATTAAATGACAATGTAATATATCTCTGTGCATAATATATCAGGCAAAGAATTGGGTAGCCAATATATTATTTATTGGATTATAATGCATTGTCAGGTATGTCGAGAAATATTTATACTGCAACTTTGGACTATGCTCCCAATGCATCCTTGTATTTAATTTTTAATTCATTAGAGCAAGTTTTGGACAGTGAAATATTTTCAAATATTGCACCTAAAAGACATCATTACTTGAGACTACACTATATATAGGTTATATCAATAACAATGTTCAAAATACACAGGGACCGAATATTAATTTGCACTCAAAAGATCCAAAAAAGTCTATGAAAAGTTAATGAAGAAGGTAACAAATCAGAAATAAAACAACTTTATACAAAGAAGAAACAGAATCTGTGGGGAGCAACACCTCCAATCATAGATGCTGTCTGTCTGGTGTTGCTCCAGCTCCTCCAATCATTGATGCCTTCTCCCCCACACTTACTGCACCTCAAGAGACAAAATCTCTGATTTGGAAGAGTGGTAAGGGCAGGAGAGAGAAAATCTATGATTGGAGGAGCAAGAGCAGTAACTCTGGCTGGTCCTGCTGCTCCTAGTGTCAATCACTTTGAAAGGGGACTGTTTTGAGAGGAGGTAAGAAATGGCTACTACTTTTAGATAACCTGGATAATTTATGATAGGGTTTGTGGGTGGGGCTAGAAAAATTAGAAAAATTCAGGACATACACCACACATCCAGGGCAACAACTGTCCCCTGTTTGGCATGTAGACAATCAAATCCCAAATGATAGTTTCTAGAAATATCTTCAGGTGTTTAAGATGATGGCTTTTTTTGTGTAGAAGTGTGTGTTGGTAATTTTGAAACAATAATTGTTGCTTGCATAAGATAGTTGTTTTCTTGTGCAATCTGAAAACTGTAGTTTCTGGCAAATGATTGCTTTTCTTGTTTGTTGTGGCCTTTATTTTTAATGAAGGAGTGATCACCATTGAAAATATTGATTAATTCTTCTAATTTTGCACCTGAGACTCCAAATATACCATACATCATCTAAATATCTGGAGTAATGCACAAGCAGCCTGCAAAATCTTTCAAGGACCCTCTCTTCCCACTCTCCCTCGTATATGCTACATCCTCACCTGTTTCTATATTTATGTACAGATTTTCAATGTCTATTGTACAAAGTATGGCATTGACGCATTCAGTTAGTGAACTAGCCAGCTCTATAAAGTGGTATGTAACTTCAACAAAACTCGGATGATTTGATGTTGAGGGGTTCCAAACTATTGTCTCATTAAAGCATGGATGATCATGTGAGGAGGTGCAGTAACTTGGCAAATGTCACTGAAATGTGAAGTATTGTGAATTAAACCATTTGTTATCTGATGGTTAGTTTGGTGCTTCTGAATTAATTTGTGCACATTCCCCTTGTTGCTCAGATAGAACTTTGCAAGTCAGTATCCTCACCTATTTCTCAGCACTCACTTTAACAAGAAGAAAGGGGAAACTGGGGTAAAAATCTTGAAATTGTTGATATTTGAGCTGCATTTTCTTTTTGAAGACAGAAGAACTTCATTAATGCAGAAGGTATCATTGCCTTGTAAGTACATCGCCTAATAAAGAAGATGGTGAGAATGAAAAAGGAATGCCAAAATTCAAAATGAAACCCCCATAAATTGAAAAGTTGCCTTTAAGAAAATCATAGGCGGAGCCCTTTGAAGTTAAGAAAGCATTTAGGTTCCTTCTGCCACATGTAGTGTTCAACATAGTGCTCAATATACTAAGCAATGTACTGATTAATATATGATTCAATTTACTCTCTGATATATTGCTCAAGGTATTAGATATACTGTTAATTGTGTTGCACAGTTTACTGCTCAAAAACAGCTTGATAAACTGTGCAATATTTCTGCTGACTAAATTGGTTGATTATAACATACAATAAATTGCTGCTGAACATACTGCTCAATATATCGCTTAATATTTGGTTGATGCACAGTACTGCTTGATGTATTGCTTGTTACACTGCTCAATATTCTGCTTGACATACCGATAAATATACAATTCAGTGTCCAGCTCAATATATGGCTTAATACAGGTTGTGTAAGGGTGTAAGGATCTGAAAGGGTTAATTCTGAAGGGCATCTTAAACACAGCTCACTATAATGATGTAATACAGACTTTGTAGGAGAATACCACAAAGAAGAAATTGCCCTGATTCAGAGATCCAGGATGCTATTAAAAAAAAGTGCCCATTTCAACAGGACAGCTATTCTCAGCAAAGGAAATTCGAGTGATTAAAGATTCTCTAGATACTGTAATGGAGCCATTGCCGGTTTTGAGCAGGTAAGTCCTTCTTCAGAAAGGAAAGCCAAGAGATAAAATAACTTCCAAGTTTAAAGGAACTTTCAAATCTTAAACTGTCAGGAACAAAATAAAAGTCGACAGTCTTCAACCCAGAGATTAATAATCTCCCAAACTCAAAACAGAATCCTTTCTGATGGAATAGTAAAACCTCTGGACTTGAACCTGTGAACTCAGAAACTTG